AACATGCTGTCTGTTCTATACAGATTTTTTTTTTTTTTTTTTTTTAAGGGGGGAGAAGGGACAGGATGCAGTGAGGCACAAGTAACATTGATAAGAGAATTCCCTGGAATGGCACTTGCCGTTTAAAATGCAATTACAATTGTTTTTGACAGGAAGGAACAATATGGACATATGTGGGCATAGCAGGTGACCCAGAAAATCTCATTTGGGCACCGATGCTTTCAGACCCCTCTCTCCACTTACAAACTAGCATGCATCAGTAACAGATTCTGCTTACGCCACCTGGCCATGTATATTTGTCTCAGGCAAGCCCACTGTGCTCATGTTGGAAAAAATCAGCTCCAAGAGTTACCCTTGGGCTACATCTACACTGACCCCTTTTACGAAAGGGGCATGCTAATTTTAAACTTCGTAATAGGGAAATCCGCGGGGGATTTAATTATCCCCCGCAGGATTTAAATAAAGATGTCCGCCGCTTTTTTCCGGCTTGGGGAAAAGCCGGAAAAAAGCGTCTAGACTGGCCCGATCCTCTGGAATAAAGCCCTATTCCAGAGGATCTCTTATTCCTACTTCAAATAAGAGGAATAAGAGATCCTCCAGAATAGGGCTTTATTCCGGAGGATCGGGCCAGTCTAGACGTTCTTTTCCAGCTTTTCTACAAGCCGGAAAAAAGCGGCGGACATCTTTATTTAAATCCCGCGGGGGATATTTAAATCCCCCGCGGATTTCCCTATTACGAAGTTTAAAATTAGCATGCCCCTTTCGTAAAAGGGGCCAGTGTAGACGTAGCGTTGGTGTATATAAATTCAATATATTAACCCCACCACCCATTTTAGTGCAGCTTTAATTGTAACAGAGAGTCCCATGAGATGCAATTAAAACAGAGAGAAATCCTGTGCCTACTCTTTATTTTTTTAAGCAAAAAAATAGTAAAAAGTTTCTTGTTCCGAGTGCTTTTTATTTCTCTCCTCACAGAAATTTTGGCTGGATAAGACTTATTAGCTTGTTCGGTGTATGTCCCTGCTTGGTCAGGGCTGTTCCCAACAGTATGTTCTTTCCAATGTTTGGACACAATGATGAGCTTCTAATTGCTGGAAAAGGAATGATGATTAAGACCAACAAAAAGAAAACCTCGTCAATTCTTTTCAACACCTCAGTTCTCAGCCAGACTTGAAACAGTCCTGGGATTGGTGCCAGTACCAACACTTCATTCAGAGAACAAGCTCAAGTTTCAGCCATGATAGTCAGAGGAAATAAGGAGGCATGTAAAAGATTACACAGTCTGGACAACGTCCTCCGCTGACCATGTAAATCTGTCTCCGTGGTTGTCGTTATAGATCATTTACACAGCACCATAAATGAAACTGCGCATTACAAACCCACTGAAAACCAGGGCAGGAAGTGTGCATCTAAGAGCTCACACAGCCTATAAAACAAGACAAATGCACAAAGAATAAGACAGAAATTGGCAACCTGGGTCCGACTGAACAGACTGACAGCTATGTTTTCTCTGTCAGTGCTCTAAGAACACTGATGACAGGGCTGGAAAACACTTCTGATAAACCTGTCACACTGTATTTCTAACAGGAAACTTCAATTTCAAAGGACAAACATGCACAGGAACAGGCACCCATTTGCAGATAAGCGAGTAACGTGGGCTGGAACTGAACTCAAAATACGTACATTTTCAGCATCCCATTTTTAAAACAACAGCCAAGGAGGCTTTGGTATGTATAGAGATTCTCTCTCTCAAAAAAAAAATTCTACCCTTGGGATGGTAGAAATCCTGGGCCAGATTCTCTACAGCATTGCAGCTTCTAAACATGCTGAGGAAGGCGGGGGG